TATCTGTGGAGAGACTTCAGATTCAGCTCTGGATGTTCCACTTTAAGAGGAATGCTCAGAAAGGGTAGGGCATCCCCAGAGAGCAAGCTTGGCCAGGATGCACTTAGAACCAGCAAGGGAAATGGTAACCTGGGTGGCATAGAGTGGCTGCTGATTCCACACACAGCTCTCTTGTCCAGGAAGGACTTTCCTACTTCTCTATGGCTCCAGGGAGGGGCCATTAATGGGTGAGAATTCAAAGGACAATGGTTTTGACTGAATAGCAAAATAATGTTTCTGGGTGGGCTGTGTATGAGACTGTGCTTCCAAAGTGGTCAAGAACAGATTGGATGACTTCATGGCTGAGATAGTAAAAATCACCCTCAAAGGTCTGATTGCCTTTAGACTATATGATTTTTTTTTTTTTTACCGTTTTGGAAAAAAAATTTTTTACTTGTAGTTAAAAATTTTTCATTATAAACAAATCTATACCATACCTGTGAAACTAAAACAATGCCACATCAGCTGTATACCATTTGCCTGCTTTCATCAGTTGCTGGCATTTTCCTCGTTTGTTTCAGTTTAGCACTTTCCATTTGCTATTTTCTAGCTGATTTTAAAACTTCCTTAGTCTTACTAAGCATTATAATTCTACATGTTGTGACTTATTTTTAGGTACAGGTTGAGCAACCCTGATCTGATGACAAAGTCTGAAGTATTCAAAAATCTGAAATATTTTGGGTACTGACATGGTACTCATCAAGTTTCAGATCTCTGAAACATTTCAGGTTTGGGATATTTGGATTTAGGGTCTTCAACCAGTTAACCTTTATGGATGGGCTGTGTCATGAGACTGTGCTGTTTCCATCATTGAAGTGATGACATATAGGCTGGATGAAAAGAAAAATACATGAGGCTGGAGAGATGGCTCAGTGGTTAGGAGCACTGACTGCTCTTGCAGAGGACCTAGGTTCCATTCCCAGCCCCTACATGACCACTAACAGCGATTGGTAACTCCAGGTTCAGGGGATTGGACACCCTCTTCTGACTTCTGAGGGCATTGCAGGACATGGGTGTACTTATACACATGCAGACAATATATCCATACACATAAAAGACAAATAACAAATTACATATTTTTTAAAATACAGAGAACTCCAAATTCTGGAAGCATTTCTGGTTCCAGGCATTTCAGAGAAGGGCTACTCAGCCTGCGATAGGGTTTTAGAAAACCATAACCCTACTAACATAGATGCTTACTGTCCATAGGATCCTGAGCACCCTAGGGAGGTCATCTTCCTACATCCTCTCCTGCTGTTCCTCGCTTTGATCACCATACAACAGTGATCCACACTGGTTTTCTTTCCTTCTGCATAACTGCTAGTTCATTCCCAGCTCCAGGACTGACACTTGCTTATTTCTTCACTTTCAGTCTCGTTTGCTGGCTTTCCCATGGCTGGGTTATTCCAATTCTCTCTGTGATGGTTAATGGTCCAATTTTAACTTGATAGGATTTAGAATAACTATGGAAGCAAACTTCTGGGCATGTCTGTGAGGGACTTTTCAGGTTGGGTTAGTTGTAGTGGGAAGACTTATTGTAAATATGGATCCTACCAACTCTGACTCCTAGATTGAATAAAAGGAAAATAAGCTGAGCACCCACAGCCATCCCTCTCCACTGCCTGGCTATAGATTCGATGCAATTAGCTTCTTCGAGCTCCTGCTTCCATGACTTCCTTGTCATGATGGACTGTATATTCAAACTGTGAACCAAATAAACCCTTCATTAAGTTGCTTTTGTCATAGAAATAAGCAACTGACATACTCACTGTTCTCCTAAATGTTCTCTCCTCAAGTCCCACAAGTTATTCTGCCACATGGGCTCATGTTGTTTTTTTATCACTCTCTAATGATCTTGCTTACTTGTGTGACTGCTCCATCATCCCTTCCCAGATGCAAGTTCCAGGAGCACAGGAATTTGTCTGTCTTATTTTTTGCCTTGTCCTCCTTGCTTGGATTAGAGACTACTCAACACACAGTTGTCGAATGAATAAATGTGAGAACAAATGGAAACTTTGTTGAAGGACTTGTTAACACAAAGATAGATGTGAACATCTGGCAACATATTTCAAACAGAAAATGCTTAGTGGTTTTTATAAATGTCAAGAGAAATATGGAGTATATTTTAAGTGACAGAGGTTTAGGGAAGACCTTTCCTGCAGAAGTCCAAAGATGATGTGGACTTTTCTCAGTGACCAAGGTGCTTTCTGTTGCCATCTGTTTGAAAAGATAGACATTTATTAGCATTCAAGGAGTAAATTCTTCCTAGATGGCTGATAAAAGGAAGACGGAGTCTGGGAGGATTATGCCCACAGCTGGCTACCCACAGAAACAATTGAGAATGTATACATTCTTTCAGAAATGGATTCTAAAAGCCTAATAGCGATATATGTTCAGGTGAACTTTCCTTGTGTATAATAAATAAATCATTATCCATCTATTATAATGTGTTTTCAAGCCTTCAAATGGTCCTTCAAATTGGAGGTATGTATGTGATTCCACCAAAAGGCCCCAGTCCCCAGCACATCATCTTCTTGCCAAACTGAATTACTGTTGACTGCCTGGAGGACTGGGTTTTTGCTTTGGGTGAATGAAGTGTAAAAGCATCTGAACTTTAAGCTGGCCTCCTCTTCTACCACAAAAGAACAGTCTAACTTATTATAGAAGGGGCTGCCTGAAGAGATGGAATAAGCCAGCCCCAGGATAAAGGATGGTTAGCATTTTCTATTTGTTCCTGTGACCTGGTAAGAGTAACTATTTAATAGAGAAAAAAAGTTTACCATTTAATGGAGGAAGACACTGGCTTTAAACATTTTAAAGTATAGCATCCTAAGGTTAAACTGTTGCTGCTCAGCTGGGTTACCAGAGAATTAGCGTAAGTAAAGCAAAAGAAGGCAGAATTTAGAGACTGGCTTCCTAGGGCAGGAGGCCCAGTTTTATAGCTTAGTCACTGTGTGATTCTGAGCATGATGTTTAATTGCTCTTTTAGTTTGCCCATCTATAACATAAACATCCTTATACTTGTAAAGTGCTTAAAGTACCTCATACCTTAATGGCCTATACTCCAGCACTAATCAAGTATTTGCCACTGTTTCTCTCTTTTTCCACAACTCCAGTTAAAGAAGAAAAGAGAATCCTGTACCTGCAAAGCGTCTGCAGATATATGACCTAGTTTGATCCTAACTATAGCTTGGTGTAGTCAATATGTTTTTCCTTTATTTTATAGGTGACTATATACAGGGTTGAAGTCATGTAGCTAACAAGCGACTGAATTCTAACTTGAACCAGATCTTTGTAGCCTGTGCCACTGAACAGTAATTTTAACACTTTTGAAAAAAAATGCTGCTTTCAGGTAACAGATCCTTGAAAGACTTATAGTCAAAACTCAATCAAACTCAATAGAAACTTGGATGATTTTTTAATTTAATGTGTGTTTTTTTTCTGCACGTACGTAAGTACACCACATCGTGTAGTGCCTGAGGAGGCCAAAAGAGGAAGTCAGATCCCAGAAGAGGAAGTCGGATCCCCTGGAACTGGAGTTATAGGCAATTGTGAGCTGTCGTGTGGGTGCTAGGAACCAAACCCAGATCTTCTGCAAGAGCAGCAAGTGCTCTTAATCACTGAACCATCTCTCCAACCTTGGGTATTTTAAAAATATTTTAAAATGTTATTTATTTTTAAATAAATTTAATAAGTTATTTTAAGCAATATTTTCAGTTCTTTGAAAATTTCATTTATTCAATGTATTTTTTATCATATTCATCTACCACTAACTTGCTCTATGCCCCCACCTATCTCCCAACTTCATTTCATCTTTTTTTTATTGTTTAAAGCAAATGAAAACTTTCACTTGAATTTAAACCTATCTTCTGTGATATTTCTGATCCACATTGATATATTACTATTACACAGACACAGAGACACACACACACATACAGACACACAGACATACTCACACACAAAATAAATGTAGGGATAAACAAACCTAAAAATACATTATTTTTGCTGTCTCATGTAAGCAAAATGTCAAAGCAAAACAAACAGACCAGGGAAATATTTAATTAACTTTGCCAAGTCTTTTCAGTTAGAAACTTGGAATTCTAGTAGCTGTATAGGTAAGATACTTCTATTTATTTTAAACATCATGCACATAATTTAAGGATTATCTTAAGTCTCCTGCCCGCCATGGTTCTCAAGTCACTTGTTACTCTTAGAAGAGGGCCAGTTTGGCAAGTTTAATGGAGATATGCCTCAGAGTAATTACTTGGAAAAAATAATATCATTTCATAGTTTAATATTCTCAGCCATATACTTTTTTATTTTCATTTTTGCCCATCATAGAGAGAAAAGCAGACAGCTTTAATTTGATTTACGTGGGGAAAAGCAACCCTAAATGTACTTTTTTTTGGTCGGGGGAGGGGGATGCGAGGAGAAAAGGTCAGCCAGATGGCTCTCATCTATGTGCCATAATTCTCTGTTTAGTTTACACTATTAAACTCCAGAGCTCTGCTTTCATCTTAACTGTTACAGTATGCCTTAGTGCCGATCCTATGGTGTCGCATCCTGACAGGGTTTCAGACTCTGGCAAAGCACCATCCCCCAAGTTGGTCGTTACCATATGGGTAGTAAACACATCCAACATTTTTTCATTGGCGCCTGCATCATTATGTTTTGCCACCATTGGTTTCTCAGGTTTTCAGTAAATTGCTGTGTATACTGTGGTCTGGAGATACCGGGAGGATTGACGTTGATTTGTACACATCCAGGTTCTAGTTGGGACCTCCCAGGCCCATTGGTCTTTGTGGATGACCTAACATCTGTTTGTTAAAGGTGGTGGGGAGGGAGTGTGAGCAGAAAAACCATCATGGGAAAAAGGCAGCACCAGCCAACATCAGGGAAAACTGTTTTCCAGGAGCCTTAACACCAAGTCAGGATGAGGAGAGCTGAAGAGCCAGACCTACCTGATCTGTCTTCATTTTGTGAGTCACATCTTCGGCACAGTTCTGGGATGGTCTTGAGGGATGTGACTGAATACTGAATGGAAAGCCAGAAGAGAAAAGTTGTAAAACAGAGATTTAAAATAAGGCCATTCACTAAAATCAGTCAGGAAAAATAAAATGAACACAAGAGGTGAGACTTGAGTACAACAGTCACGTTCAGGAAGTGGATGGCATTGTAGCCCACATGAGCCACATTGTAGCCCACATGAGCCACCCTGTGACCTGGCAACATCCTCGCCTCTACCTGTGAGCACCTCAGCAGACACAGGCTAGAAAGGGGCTGGACAGCCCTGCTTCTGTGAAGGATTAAGAAGTAACAGCAGATATTCTTCTCTTATAATTTCTACTTGTGGAAGATAGAAGACAGATTTGTTTGTGCTTGAGTGTTTCCAGAAGGTGTTATTTGTACTCTAAATCCTAAGAGTGAGCTATGGACGTGAAAATCTGAGTGCAGGAGCATTCAGTTTCCTGGAGGAGCCAGGACAGGAGACATGTCTGTGTGGTCATGTGGACTACACTATGCAAAAGTCCCCAAAGTTACCATGTGCTGCAGGTTTTATTGTGCAGCATCTGTAGTCTCTGTGGCAAATACTGGGGTGATGTCATAAAAAGCAAGAGGAGCATGGCTCTGTATTTGGAAGCTCATCTGTTTCATGGATAGATTAGTTTGGATGGAAAGACATCACCTTTCAGTTTCTGTTCCAGCATCAATTCAGGGGCTGGCTGTCAAGATAACAAATTATGACACAGGAGGCACTAAATTAGAAGAGCTAAAACAAATGTAAAATCAATAGTATGATTTATGGGGACGACGTTTGATATCCATCCATCTTTCTTTAGAGAGTATTTCAAAACAGAATAAATAGAATGAACTCTGTCTTTAATCAAAGACAGAACCAAAGGACCATCTTCAATCATGCTCTAATGTTAATTCATAAACTGTAATTTGCTAAAATATTTTGTTCTGTATCTCTAAGAGCAGTGAACACAAATCATGATTACTTCTCCACTGCAAAATGTGAGGTAACAAAAAATTTAATCAAAAAGAAAAACGGTCAAGGGGATCCCATTAAGATTGCTCTAGCATCCTAAGTGAAGAACACACAATTCAAATGCATTTTTCAATGTGAAGGTTCTTTCGTTGGTGTTATTTGATAGACACACCTCCAGTGTTTTCTGCAGGCTATGAGCAAAACAAGACGGATGGACTGGGCAGTTGTAGCTACCGTCAGTGTGCCTATTGCACAACACACACTAATGTGATTTCGAGTGTTTCCAAGTGAACACTGAACTCTCAGGTGACTAATTAGAGAAATTACTCTCACCTGTCTGATGCAATAACATCCTGTTTGTGTTGGTCCTTCCTCAGAGAATACAGGTGCCCCAGAAAATTTGCTGCATATTCAGATGGAGGGATGGCTGCCTCTTTAACCAAACATGAATCTCAGGCAATTTTCCCCTTCTATATTATGTTCTTTGGGAGTCCAGGATAATTCAGGTAGAGAAGGCATTTTTCTTGGTACTAAAAAAGTATCTTGTGTTCCTGGCCGAGTACAAGCTCTCTAAGGAATCCGGTAGTTTTAAAACACCAGCTGGTACAGGTTATATAATTACACAGTCTATAATTCAATTAAAACTGGGCCTTTTGTTTTGGTTGCTGTACATCCCATGAAACACCCTTTGGCAGAGTCTCACCATCTCACCTGCTTTTCTTTATTTGACTTTTCTTCTAAGGCAGCAGTTTAGAAGGGAGAACATTTAAGACTGATTATGTTTAAATATAGGTAATGATATATTTAGTAAGCTTTTCTCACTGGGTTTAATGATGTACATCTGATTAAAATGGGTGAACTGCTGTCAGCATTCCAGGCACACTCTTTTCCTCAAACCAGACACAATAGAATGTCAGATTTATTTGCTATAGTTCAACTCTTCCTATTTGACTGCAAAAGCCCATAGTGTGAAGTGAGTTTCAGGTTTCTGAGGTTCTGTTTGGCTAGTATGCAGACAGAGTCAGGCCAGAGATGCTCCTCCCTTAGCAACAACTCAACCTCCATCACATGCTGTGACTTTGCCTTTGGTTGTACAGAAAACTTATTTTCTGAAGGCACACACTTCAGTTCTTCATATCACAACCACTTAAGGGATAATGATCTTGAAGAAAAAGTGATGTAGTACTCCTGGGAATAGAAATAAGAAGTACAGAAATCTAAGGAAAAGATGAGTGTTAGCTAGAAGATTAGATTATTTTGGAGAATCTCAGAGTATAGGAAATATCACATTTGGCAGTGACACTGTCTATGTAGTAGACAAAGATACCATTCTTCATAAAGTCACAAGAAAAGGGCAACTGTAGACTAGTTTCTGCACATACAAACACTGAAAGAAAAAGCTTAATGGAATGATGTAAAGATGATTGTGCTGAGATGCAGAGAAATGCACAGGAAACCATCAGTTCACAAAAGCAGGATGAAAACCTAGTTTTATACTTGCAAATTTGGGAATGAACCCATGACCCAGGATGTCTCCCTTGAAGAGTAATTTGTGCTACCATCTGGGAGCTGAATGGAAGGCTTCCCAGACCATCACTACAATTCACAGGACAGATGGTCTTATTTTAAGGAACTGTCAGATTGCCAAACTGCCTCATTCACAGGACAATCACTAGCAGTAACTACTGCCACTTTGGCCCTTTTGGAACCAAGACCAATGGATCTTTTTTTCTTCTCATCCTCCAACGCCAATTCTATAGCCTGATCTTTTGATTCTTAGCCTTGGGTGATAAGAAAGGAGAGGGTCCTTGCAGCTTGATAAGCCTCGCATTTCCTTTCACAATTTTGCCCTAACATATTCCTTTTCTAGAATTTTTCCAGAGGTTATTGTCTCTGATCAAATCTTTTCTAGTCCTCTGTTTTAAGAGCACGTGCTAAAGGTTGACCAGTTCCCTGGGTTCTTCAATGCCCTCACAGAGCCAGTGTAGTTCTTCTGCTCCTTCACTCTGGGGTCCTGTCTGCACAGCTTTCCTTGTCATGCAGCATCATTGTTCATAAGGCCAGCACGTACTCTGCCTCTTCCACGAAGCCCCACTGACTGTTTGTATCTATTCTACCTTTATCTTTCCCAACCTCAGTACATTTCTGGAATGTCTTGGGCTTGGCTGGTTCCTCTATCCAAGTATGTGCTTCCAAAGCAGATGAGAGAAAGCATGTCATCTTTGCCTTGTGTTTATGCATGGCCTACAGGGACTGATTGCCGGTTTTCCTGAAACACATACAGGTATACACATTGTGCTTACTCCTGGGAATAATGTAGATTCTCAAGGGAGTGCTTTAAAGTTTAGGTAGTAAGTGGGAATTTCCTCCATACCTTCACACTGGCATTGGAATTCATTAGTTTTCGATGGTGCAAATTTGACTTAAGTATGTCTATTTCAAAGCCTTCAGGGGCTCTGCATGATGTATAGCCCAGATCTGGTGCCTTAGCACGGCAAAGCTTAGCCCATCTCTCACTTCCATGCACTTTTCTATATGACAACAACACATTTCTTACCATTTTCACCTACTGTTTTACCTACTTATATCTTTAGTGAATGCTACTCCATCTACCTAGAATGCCATTCCACCCATTTCAGTAGGAAAACTTCTTTAAATTCTTTCAAGTTTGCCTAGCTATCATTGCTACAATACTCCCTTTGACTCTCCCAGATGGAAATAATGTCAGCATGCAAAGGGTGGTCTCTGGACCAGAGGTATTAACACCTTCCAGGAATTCATTTTGAATTCAGTTTCTTTGTGAGTCATCCCAGAGCTACTGAATCTGGTCCACTGAGTGATGGGCCCAGCCACTGGCCTTTCACAAGTCACCCAGGTCATTCTAGAGCATGACAGAGCTCAAGAGCCACTGTTCTCCAGTGTTCCCTCATCTCAGCCACACACCACATCGCATTCCATCTCTGTGTTTACATTCATGCTTTCTTTGCTTCTTGGAGTTATGGACAGTATTTTGTTTACCTAATATATTAGCCTCTGAATTAAATGAATTCCATTGAGTAGCCCCCAACTTTAGCAATTTATATTTATATAATCACAATCTTAGAAATTTCTAACTCATAATTGAAAACTCAGTAGCGCAATTATAGCACATTCAAAAAAAAATCAATATTTTGATGACATGATTGTTGGTTGATTCCCTTTTGCACAAAGACAAAGAACTTAGAGCCAGATCTGGATTTATGTCATGGTTTTGACATTTATTGACTTTATAGTTCAAGACAAACAAATCACATCTCCTGAGCAGCTGGGTTTCCTTATTTGTGAAACACAGATAACTGCAGTAGATAATGAAGGTGAAGTCATTTTGCAAACTGTTCCATGCCTGTAAACATTTTATCTCTTCTCTCTAACCTGTTTTCCCACAACACTTCCTTCCTTCCTAATCTTCATTCCTGTCAGGGCTTTATAAACTCAGGAGGATAAGAAAGGGAATGGGCTGGAACTTGAAGTTCAAAGGGAAGATGGCTTAGCTACCTCCACATCTTATGTGGCTTATCTTTATTCTTTCCTCACCCCAAGAGACTGTGTGGATGGGGGCAGACTGGGAAAGCAAGCGTCACTAACTACACAGCTGATATAATGCAAGATAACCTACCACATCCCAGGTTATACCGGTCACTTTTGTCCCTCTGCCATGCAAAACAGTTTGAACATTCATGGGATTCATAACAACAGAGCATAATTTCTACATTGGGCTATGCTCTGACCACCCTAGATATTGTTAAGGACTGAAATGCTTTGGCCCTTATTCCTACAAACTGGAGCCAGCTGGGTGAGCAAGCAGACATTACTCAAGTGGTAATGAGCCATAGAAATGGAAGAACAGCGTCCTAAGCACCTTTTCAAGCTACAGATTTTTAAGTAACCAAGTTGGTCCTATTAAGTTTCCAAAAGAAACAATTGAGCCATCCATTCAAACAACTATCATGAAATTCATGATTTCTCACTGAGGTTTCCAAAACTCATGCGGGCACTCGCATGG